GGAGGCAGTCAGGTGAGAGGTGGTGTGCGTACTGGTTCCAGCTGGTGGCCAGAGGGCCCTGCCCAGCGCTGCTGCCACCTGGCACGCCCCCACGCACCCCCTGCCAGGCGCCCGCGCAGCCAGCCTGCCCGCCGGCCACACCCCAGCCAGCCAGCTATCACCAGCAGCCCCACCAGCAACCCGCCACCCCCACCGGCGACCCCCACCAGCCAGCCCCGCCAGCCAGCCGCCTCGCTCTTGCCCTCTTCGCTCTCTGCCGTCCCCCCACCCCACCCCACCTGTCCAGGTCTGGCTCCGTCAGCGTCTCGCGCAGCAGCACACCATCAGTCATGTACTTGATGAGCGTGTCTGAGGAGGTGCAGTCCTCAAAGCGGATGGCATACCCCACGTCCTTGCCCAGCTCCACGCCCATCTCCTCGCTGCAGTACGGGGCGGTACACGGCAGCGACAGCGGGATGAGGAGCCGAGCTTAACGCTGATGTGCAGATACGACGAGCGACAGGCGAGCAGCAGGGCGACGCAGCGGGCGGACGGGCGGTGGGGCGAGGATGGGATCCCGGGCTGCTGGCCAGCGGCGGCATGCATGCATTTGGACAGCACAGCAGCAGACAGCCTAACCGCCAGCGCCACCAAACACACACACACACATACACCACACCTGACACGCTTGGCGACCGACATGGCGGCCACGCGGCGCGGCTGCGTGCAGCCCACCAGGCCGTACGTGGTGTAGCCGTCCTCGTGAAGGTACTGTACGCAGTACATGGCAGTATCAGGCGGTACCAGTTGACACTGCATGTAGCACCGCGCTCTGGACTGCTGCACACGGTTACACACGCCCCCGGCTGCAGTGCCCCGCCCACTTGTGGCTGGATGCCAGCCTTCCCGCACCACACCCCACCACACCCACCTGGGTCATCTGCGTGGTCTTGCCTGACCCCGTCTCTCCCACCACCACCACCACCTGCACCAGCGCAGCATCGGGCAACCCCCACTTCGGAGAACGCACGCCTGGGCGCAGCCCGCCACAGCACCCTCCCCGCCCTCTGCCATCGCACGCATGCACGCACACACTCTGAGCGACAAGCCGCCGGTGCTGCCTGTGCGGTACACACCACCGTCTGTGCTCCTCGTTCTGCTCCCAGCCCCCTCCCCCGAGGGAGGTCCAGGACGCTGTCACCACCTGCCCCCAGCACACACACATGCACAACCCCCTCCCGCGCCCCCTGCCCACACACCCTGCACAGCCCCCTCCCCCTGCCCCCTGCCCACACACACACCTGGTTCTCGCGGATGACCTGCAGCATCTCCTCCCGCACGCCGTACACGGGCAGGAAGCGGCGCTGCTCCGCCAGCGTCTTGTTCTTGGCAAAGTCGCTCACCGCCTCGCTCTTCTTCAGGTGGTCCTTGAACTGTGGGAAGGGGGAGGCAGGGGGGCAGCAGGGGGCAGGCGTGCGTGTGTGCGTGTGTGTGTGCGACGGGAAGTGTGTGTGTGTGTGTGTGTGTGTGTGTGTGTGTGTGTGTGTGTGCGTGTGCGCGTGTGTGCGTCGCAGCAACAGGAGGGCGCCCTCCTGGGTTGGGTGAGGGCGAGGTGCGCAGGGCGCCAGCGGGGCAGGCGGCAGCCCTCTGGAGCGCCACACCTTGGACGCCTTGCGGTAGTCGCCGTCGTCGTCAGACCCGCCCTCCTCCCGCTCCGCCTCCGCAGCCTTGGCGCCCTCCTCCTTCTCAGCCTCCGTCAGGCCTGCGGGCAGGCGGGCAGGGCAGGGCAGGGCAGGGCAGGGCAGGGCAGGGTGCTTGCTCCGCCGCCTGCTCTGCTGCTGCCGCCGCTGCCGCGGCGGAGCTGGCATGCTGTTCCCCTCCCCTCCTCCCTCCTACATCGGTCCACCCTCCTCCTCCTCCCCCATTTTTGATATGTGTTTCCCTCCTCCACTTCGCACTCCTTTCCAGCCCCCTCCCTCACTCTTCCCTCCTCCCCACTCTTCCCTCCTCCCCACCCCTTTCCTTAA